TTTACGGGAAATCAATTAACAAACGGAGACGTAACAATATGTTCACCCTGCACTATACACGTTGTCTTACATTGTATTATGTACGACGTGTTCAATTGTGTTATACAAGCCGTCTTCATAATGTATTTTGTATGATATGTTCACACTGTACTATACACATTGTCTTACATTGTACTAGGTATGACGTGTTTAACTGTACTTTACAAGCCGTCTTCATAATGTATTATGTATATGTTTACACTGTATTATACAGAAACCGTTGACATTGTAATACACATGATTTATTCAAACTATACTATACATGGTAAGTACATACTATATTGTACATGATAAATTCACATAGTATTATACAGGATATCTCAACACCTTACTACTTACGATGTTAGCATACTGTACTATATAGGATATTTCAATATCTTACCAGATATGATGAGATTACACTTTATAATGAATGATATTTTCACAAAGTAATAGGCAGTTGTGTTTCTGCTAATTTATATGTAATATGCTTCATTATAAGAATGTTTTAACACCATATGGAAAAAATGACACAATACTATATAGAAAGTGTTGACAATGAACCATATAGGATGTTTCGACACTGTGCTATATAGAAGGTGTTGACACTGTACTATACAAGATATGTAGACTCTGCTTCATACTCAGTGTTGTTGTTTTTTTCACTTTACGACATAGGATGTGTTGGCAAGTTACAATACAAAAAGTGTCGACTCTAAATTAAATAATGTTTCTACTCTATACAATTCAGGAAGTGTTTACACTACTACATAGGATTTTTCTACTCTGTTCTATACGGGAAGTGTTGATATTTTTACACAGCATTGTTCTATTCTGTACTATACAAAAAGTGTTGAACTACTACATAACATTTTTTTACCCTGTACTATAGAGGAAGTATTGACACTTTTACACAGCATTTTTCTACTCTGTACTATACACCACTAAATAGTATGTTTCTACTATGTAATATAAGAAATAGTTAACACCACTATATTGCTTGTTTCCACTCTGTACTATTCAGGAAGTGTTGACACCTCCACATAGCATGTTTCTACTTTGTACTATACAGGAAGTGTTAACACTACTAAATAGCATGTTTCTACTATGTAGTATACAGGAAGCGTTGACACTACTAAATAACGTTTCTACTAAGTAGTATACAGGAAGTGTTAACACTACTAAATAGCATGTTTCTACTCTGTACTACCCAGGAAGCGTTAACACTACTAAATAGTATGTTTCTAATATGTAGTATACAGGAAGCGTTGACACTACTAAATAGCATGTTTCTACTCTGTACTATTTAGGAAGCGTTAACACTACTAAATAGTATGTTTCTAATATGTAGTATACAGGAAGCGTTGACACTACTAAATAGCATATTTCTACTCTCTACTATTCAGGAAGCGTTAACACTACTAAATAGCATGTTTCTACTATGTAGTATACAGGTAGTGTTGACACTACACAGAATGTTTCCACTCTGTACTATTCAGGAAGCGTTAACACTACTAAATAGCATGTTTGTACTATGTAGTATACAGGAAGCGTTGACACCACTAAATAACGTTTCTACTATGTAGTATACAGGTAGTGTTGACACAACACATAATGTTTCCACTCTGTACTATACAGGAAGTATTAACACCACTACATAGCATGTTTCTACTGTGTACTATACAGGAAGTATTGACACTACATAGAATGTTTCCACTCTGTACTATACAGGAAGTATTAAACACCACTACATAACATGTTTCTACTCTGTACTATACAGGAAGTATTAACACCACTACATAGCATGTTTCTACTCTGTACTATACAGGAAGTATTGACACTACACGATCATGGAGGAACCAGAGAAAAAAGTATCGGTGTTGTTAGTTTTTGTTAAGATGTTTGACTGGGTTATGCTTTTATTAATTTTGAACAGTGTTCGGTTATCCTTGTTAGTTTGCTACCCAGGGCTATTGCCCCACCTTATCCAACGCTAAAGATACTACTCTGATTGTAAATGCATTTCTTACAGTGACGAGTGTATAGGTAGGTGGTCAATAATGTAAATGTTATGTCCAATACTTATTGATGGTTGACATTCTAAGGTTACTTTGCGTTTTTTAACGATGTAAGATTGGCTCTAACAACAAATGTTTATAGCAAATATAATTTATTTCATGTTGGTTGACACACATAAAATAAGTACAAATTGGTTGTAATCGTGTGTAAAGTAATGGTTTTCACTACGTTTCATATTGACTGTTAATGTATTTTCGTCTGTCGTGCAACCGTATACTACATGTTTTGAAGTAATATATTTCAAGGAAACTTTGTTCACTGGTGGTGATTGTGCTCAATAACTATTACGACACAATTTGAAATGCAATGTAAACAATAAATTTGTAGTTAAATGGTATTTTTATCGTAACTGTCTCAGTAAAGTCCAAGTCTAATGTAAACCATTGTTTGGTTTACTTGGTAAAAATGTTTTTGAAATTTGCTAAAGATTTACATCAAAAATTTACCATTTTGCCTTTAGGTTCATATGATAGTTTCACAACATAAAAACAAATACATGGATACCTAAATTAAAACAAGTAAATCACGCATTTGGAGAATCACAATATTGATAACATAATTCATTACTGAATTCACTAGATGAAGTCCGAATGACACAAAAAATTATCGTACATTAGATCCTGTGTATTTGGAAAGACATACACTACACATTTTACTACGATATCGTAGAGCAAAAAATGTCAGGATAACTCAAAAGCATTTTCATTAACATTGTGCAGCCAGTTGAAAATCATCATATTCCGTTCGTATCTCGTCAGTGGTTTTCCCCTGTCACGTTCGATATCTTTTGCTGTAAGGCTGAAGCTTTTGTTAGAGCCTTTAAGTCCCACACCTGATATTCCTACTTCGTTGTTGCAGATATTCCAGTCCAGTTCTGATGACACTTGAACCTGGGGTATTGTGATTTTTATTCCTGCCTCTGGTAAATCTGTATTTAAATCTAGCTGGCTTCGAGTTAATCGTTCTAAAGCTTTGTACGTTGAAGAAACCCGCTGTTGAATGTACATTTGCCGAGCTTTTTTGTTTATAGAGCGAACAAAGTCTGTGGCTGTGATTGACGGAGATTCTTCGTGAGGGCCCAAGAATGGCTGAGGTGAAGGGAGTTGAGACGTTGAAACCACGTCACCGACTGCAACCCATGTTGACAAGGAACGAGACGCGCGGCCCAATCTAGCATTCTGCATCTCGTATTTACTCCAATCACATGCAGCCACTTCCGAGGAACTCCGACGAAGAGGCTCTTTCTCTATGTTGGTAATGTGAGTGATGTCACTAGTGCTAAAGCTTTTCATCAGCCCAAATACAGAGGAAAGAGCTCCACAATTACGAATTATTTCCGATTCGTCTTCAAACAGAACTTCTGTTATAGTATCTCTCGATCTACCGCCATAATGCTCGTGGGGTACTTGTAAAAAATTCCTCTGGGGACAATGAGAGGTACCAAAACCAGTTTTGCTCCATATAAGTTTATTAGGTTGAGGACTATGATCGTCAGTTCGCTCTTCATGCTTGGAGAGCTTTAACACAGAGTGTCCTGTCTTGCTCATATCTGATCCTAAACTAGACAAAGACATTAATGAAAATTCTGTAGCAAATGAATCCCGGCTAGGAGAGCGGGCTATTCCGCCAGAAGCTACTGTCACTTGGTATAAGTCAGTTTTGGGCTTATGCATAGTGATTAATATGTAGTTAGATTTGGAACACGTATGATGTGACTATGACAAAATTGCACACACTGATAAGACCATCACTGTTATCCAAATGATTTTCAGGTTATAAATGGAACACTTTCAAGGAAAAATGGTTTTAACGAAGATAAGAATTTGAATTATTGGAATTCGTGTTAAAGGATTCGAGGCTGAAGCTAAATTTACATTTAACAATTGGGAAAAAACTAATCACCAAAGTTGTAAGTTGTACTAATAAGAAACTAACGTGTCGAAATATAATTATAAAAGCGATCCCTTGAGTATTAAGTCTATCTGTTGCCATAGAAACCAAAATGTAAGCGTTATAACGTTATAAAGGGCGCTAATTATAGTCGTCACATGGTGTAATAGAAGCCGTTGTATTCCTCTTTCAACAGTAGTTTTCAATCGACGTGTTGTTTGCACATTAAGTCGACACCTGCAAATAAAGAAAAGTACACGTCCATTGTAAAATGCTCTTAACTTAGTCTCTGAAAAGCATAATTTTCTTTTATTTCTCTGTGTAATTATTATCTTTGCTTAAGGCACTATATGTGATCCACTAACTTTCCTGTTAGAGAGAATGATCTTTGCCAAGCTCACACGATAATGGTAAAGAAGTTTGAGGAATTGGGCAACTGGTTTCTTAATCTTCACAAATTTGTCAAACATTTTCATTTTTCTTTTTTTGAATCGTATTCTAGGCGATAAATTTTTGAACACGGTGTTTCCCACCGCTTTGTTTTCCTTCATATTTTTAACTATATTCACAGTGCCTATTTACATAAACTTTATAACGGTTTAATTCAACACTTATTAGAATCTTCTCGAAAATCAGAATTACTTGATAGCAGTTTACTGGACAAGGTGTTTTTAATGACCATGGGCAACTTAAATATAAAATTATAGTGTATGATAGAAATTGGTAGAAGATATCCTATGACGATCAGACACTCCACAATAAGTGTATAAACCGTTGAGTGAAACATCAACTAAAACTATGTGAAATTTCCGCAAAATAATTAAAAGATTAATAGAAGTATAAAATTTGATTTAAACATAAATATCACTGTCTTCATTAATTATTTACCTTTTTCTCTTTATTCATAATATGATCTTAGCAAAACTATCATATGTTGTTGAAATATGTAATTTGTTGACTTAGCGTGAGCCTACAAAACGAACCTAAAAATATTAAATGATATCAATGTGATTAACGCAATTTATGGTTCCTGAACCCACAGGCTAAATTACATCAGTTACTCATTTCATGAAACATTTATAATGTTGTTACGTTGTGTTCGTTTATAATCTATAGTTTAATTTACACTAATAAAATATCTTATTTTCACTGCATACTTCCGTAATAATTTAAACACTTGGCCAACTTAGACATGCAAAACATTACATTAGCATTTAAAATCGATTCCAACAAACCGTTTCACTTTCAGTATTATGAGAATATTTTAGCACTTTTGGAACAGTTTAGAATAGACACCATCTAATTTTATAAAAATCAGGATTAACATATTAATGCCAAATAATAATTGTTCATAGTCGGTTGTTTGTAATTATGCACAAAGCTACACAATGGGCTATCTGTGATCTGCCCACCACAGGTATCGAAACCCGGTTTCTAGCGTTGTAAGTCCGCAGACAAAGAATAATAAAAATAGGATGTTTGCATCAGTTGTGGCAACTCAGATAAGGGCGCTATATGCTCGAGTCATAACATAGTTGTGTTTTTATTAATCGTCTATTCATTCAAATTGACAGCTCCAAAACATTATCAATAATTGTATTAGAAATTAACATTTCATCAACATTAACGCTGTTTCCATTTGACCTTCAACCCTATTGCTGATAACTAGTTTTTATACCTTCTGACAAGATTAAAATACATTTTCGGGCGAGAATATCAAAAGCTCTTGATATGAACACTGCAAATACGTGTATGAAAAATTTCCTTAACTGCATTACAATGTTAAGAAAAACGAAAAAATAACAATAAAAAGGAAACTTCAAGAGTTTCATCATTTAATGGGTAAAGTGAAATATTTGCTGTTATATGTGATCCTAGAAACGAATTTTCTTTCTATTAGCTCTTACACTTCTCGACTTTTTAAGTTATAAATTTAACAGTACACGGGGAATAACCTTCCATCTCTTTACAGTACACTTACTTACAAGAGAAGTAATTTTCGTAAAATATAAGTGAGTGAGAAGGCTTTTGTTCTTGATATAACAGCATTTATACTTCAGTCATATTTACTGATTGTTTATCTGTGTAACATATCATTTACTGCAAACCTAATCTGTCGAGCAAAGCAACTCGGGAGTTTTCTTGTGCACGAGATAACGTTTATTTCACTTAAATATCATTCGTTGTCCAGTTGAGCAAATAATCTGTAATGGGAAATAGCAGCACTTGTGATAGACCTTTCATCCCTCCAAGTTTCCGTCATTGTAATGTATGACACACGCATTACGGTGCACGAATGCTTAAAAGCTTCCTCTCTTATACTATAGTTATCAATATCTTTCTTAAGTGGATCCGGTATGATTATCTGAACTTGTATACACAAAATGTTTGTCTATAGCCTTTAATCTACGATTTAGGTGGAGTATTCATGATGAAACAATGATAAAAATAGGCGCTATCTGCCTTACACAGACAGCAGAACTTTACTTGAAAGAGTTTAATTAAAGAATATTATCTAGGTAAAGCAGTTGCCACTAATATTTACCTTTGAATGAATGATAACATTAACATTAGTATATATATATAACTGCATATATACAAGTAGTCTTATTTATTACGGAACTTCATAAACAAATGAAAAGTACATCCCTACAGACAATTTCATGGTTTATTTTAAAGTGACAAGTGTCACAGCTAAACATGTATATACATATTCATTCTTTCGAATATAACACATGCTTCCTCTGCGTTATCTTAGATAATTTCACAGCTATCAGGCCGTAACGTGGACTATGTTATTGGGTTCGCCAAGATCTTCAACATTTATAACTCCTTAAAAGTGTACAGTAATATAGCTGATCACAAAAAAGCAGTTAAAAACTACTGCTACTAGAAACTTACCATTGGTAGGTGAGTCAATACAATACATTATCCAATGAACAAACTGTTTCGAACAACTATCGAATCAGTAAACCTGTCAAATTGTGTTTGATGTCTAAGAAGAAAGCGTGATATTTTGTCGTTTCTACGATTCTGATGCACTGGCGATTAGTACACATGCGTAGAAGATTACGGTGCTTTACTCCTGCGTTGTTAGATCCCTAGCGGAGGTGCAGTGTTGTCACAAGCCCAAATTAACCACAAACAGACATGGTACACATTCTAAATGAGTTAAGGATAAACATTTATAACGCAGTTAGCGTTAGCTGTTGCACATTTGTGTTTTTTTATAGATCATGCACTCATTATAAACAATATTAGAAAGCGATTTTATATCTAAAAGTATTTATTACAAAAGCGACAGCGCAGCAAATAGAGTATCGATAAAATCCGGCTTCATCTGCTTATCTAATTAAACAATTATTCATCTGTTTTTTATCTTACCTTACGTCATTCTGCTAATGTCGTACCTACGCATCTGATTATATTCCTGCTACTAAACCAGTCTACTCATATTTATTTTTACTTATACTTTTTTATCGATCGATAATTAACTATCTACCTTCTTCGTGTATTTTTAGTTATTTTTTCTGTCTATATCGTAAAGATATTTTTCAAATTCTTTTGAATAGACGCTTTTGATTCTCAGCCAACCTTTCCGTCTTTCTATTTTGGATCTTTATGTTGTGTACATACTATTTATTCCAGTCTAAACATATCTTCCTGTTCTGCGGATATAGTTTTCTTAGGCTATATTTTTCAGTCAGTGAGCCTTCTAATATTTCTTCAGGTACCTAGCTTCCTACTTTTATTTCGTTATTGTCTGGGATAACATCTCGCTTTTTTATATTAGAAATAGCTTTTGTCGTTTTTTCCTTCTCCAGACGATCTGATATACTGTATTTGTTAATTTTTTTCACTTTGTGCCTACTAGTTATTAATTGTTTGTTTGTTTGTTTTTTAATTATGCACAAAGCTCCACAAGGGCTATCTGTGCTCTGACCACCATGGGTATCGAAACCCGGTTTCTAGCGTTGTAAGTCTGCAGACATACCGCTGTGCCACTGGGGGGGGGGGGGCACTAGTTATTAACATTTCTCATCAGATTTTCTCATAATCCAAAGAAGGCCACATAAGAAAAAAAAAGGTTATTCATATTAAGCGGAAATTAAAACATGCTATAGAAACGTGCTCGATACTATATTGTAATTTGAAAACAAGAAAGTCACAGTCATACAAAAACATGTCACAATACAGTATCCATGAAACAGTACGTAACCATTAAGTAAGCGACTGTCAATAAAGCCTCTTGAATGAGTTAGCTAAACACGAAACTAAATACCTTACAAATATTGTTTTTTTTCAGTTGTAATTTTAAATCCTTTGTTTTAAGAAATAGTTTTGTACTTGAAATACCCATTGACGATTATGGCATGGCGTCTTGCATACATATTATCATTTCCTTAATTGTTTAAAAGACAGCGACATCGGTGTGGTTAAAAGACCTAATGAGATATATGATATTGTTGCGACAGCGGGGGGGGGTCACGTGACGCTAGTAACACGTCATATTCTCGAAGGTTCGTGAAGTCTCGAGCTTTTACTAGATATTCGGTATTATTGTACATATAATACGGTCAAGACGTGACGGCAACAATGGGTAATTGAATTGCGGACAGAGAGAGACGTATTGTTGAGTCGAGCAGGTGAGACGTTCGTTGTGAATTATAGCGTTTGTTATAACTCACGTCTCACGTGCCCAACAATATTTTGTCCGCATGCATTCAATTACTCATTGCCTCCGCGTCGCTTCGTGGCCGGTCTTATATATATACAAGACTACACTATATCTAGTAATCTCCCGACAATTCACGAAGGTTCGAGAAGGACGTGGCGTGATACTAATCAAGTGACCTCGCTGACGCAACACTGCCCCCTCCTTAGTATTGTTCGGGACGAACAATAGCCACTAACATTAAACCAATAACAATTAACAATAACTTAATTAAGTGGCAATAGTTTTCATTGAAGAATAAAGTTATAGGACTAATTGTTGAGGTAGTGGTACCTAAACCATTGATGCTGAAAAAGCGGATTTAACAATAAGGCAAGTAAATCTCTATTTTCTATTTTAACTACCAGAATTTGCTGGGTTTATCTAGCATCGTCACATGGCAAGCTTTGAATAGAATCATACAGCAATTCAAACTGTCACGTGTTACGTTATCAGAATGGTATTGTTACGTCTCGGTTTGTTAATTAACTTTCCGTAACTTCGTTCCGACGAAACTTTAGCGACACAAATCCTTACTTAATAAAAGTGGTTTATTATTTACGAATATAACTTTACGATACACTTAATTTCAACAATCGCGCTAAAACAAACGCTATAACAACAAACGTGCTCAATAATACTCTCTGACTGCAGATCAATTACTCACTGTCTACATACACATTCTTGTCCCGTCACGTTGTCACCCTCTTTTATATTTGTTTGTTTTGTTTTTTTGGAATTTCGCGCAAAGCTACACGAGGGCTATCTGCGCTAGCCATCCATAATTCAGCAGTGTAAGACTAGAGGGAAGGCAGCTAGTCATCACCACCCACCGCCAACTCTTGGGCTACTCTTTTACCAACGAATAGTGGGATTGACCGTCACATTATAACGCCCCCACGGCTGAAAGGGCGAGCAGGTTTGGTGGGATGCGGATTCGAACCCGCAACCCTCAGATTGTGAGTCGAGCGCCTTATCCACCTGGTCATGCCAGGCCCCCTCTTTTATATACCAGTCTACCCTATATCTAGTAAATGCTAGAGCATTCGCCAAGGTACAGGATAGTTCTAGAAAGTAGAGGGCGTGAGAATAGTCACGTGATCTCGATGACGCAACAATATGAACATTCTCTGTTGCGTTGTCAACTGTAATCGTCAATAATATGCTCACCAGAGATTACATTCCAGG